GGAAATTTATGCGCTGGTGATAAGATCGCGAAAAATTCGACTCTGCGCGACTGTAAAATCCATGGAAGATTCTCTCACTCGTCTATAATATCTCCGCAGGAATTATTTATAAAACACCTCTCAGCTTAATAAGCTCATTAAGATGCAAACCGAAAAAAATCCGTGAGTTCACCAATTGTTCTCAATATATAGCTTTATGCGAATTAATTAAGTATTCGGGAAGAGAAGAACTGCGCGAGACGCTCGGTTACAGTTGACTTGGCTGTATTAGATTTGAATCTGACATTGAAAACAACTGTCAGGCAGGCTGAAGATGCTGTCAAAATTTTCGAAAAAATGTCACTGAAAAAAATCTAGCCGTCACATCTAATCAAATTAGTCGCTGTCCACGTGGTGGTCTTAATTATTTCCCGGGCATAAAATGAAAATTTCGTCAACAAGTCAAATTCGCCACAAGTGATAAGATCAAAGATTTCAACAGCTGAAGGTCATTTTCGTGTTTACACAATTATCAGGGTGTCTGTCAACTGATTTGTATCATCTGAACACTTTTGTCCGCGTGAGACGCACGCTTACATAAGGTCGCGATGCTCCTCTTGAGCTCCCCTGATCATTTGCTTATTCAATTCACTGATGAAATCAGAGGCCCCGCACACAAAAAAAGCCTTCTATCGACGGCACACCATCAGTGAATAGGAGTGAGACAGCGCGAGATAAAAAAGCCGATCATTCATAAATGGATTTAGGAAATCGTTGCTTTTTTGCCTGCCAAAACAGCTTTTGCATGTGGCGGACTCTTAAACTATATGGTGGCTTTTTTCCATCGCGTAATTATGAGTAAAGTCAATTTGTACATGCAAAATCCGCTTACAACAAGAGAATTTGATATGTTCCAAAAAGACGTCTTAAGTGCCACTGTGGCCCCATTTTTCACGCTCGACGACTCCATCCCAGTGACGCCATTCGGCATAAACAAATCTATGCGCGGGGCTCACGAGGAGAGGCAATACTGCGTGTCTAAGAAAAGAAGAAATACTACAAACCACTTAGCATTTGACACAGAAAAAAAAAGTCTGTGTTAAACCTCCTGAGAGCAGGATCAGCCCTTAATCGGAATCTTTTTGCGGAAGATAAGGGAAAAATGACTAATTTCTTAACCATTCCATGACAGAAACATGAGATCACGAAATTCTTATCTCGCCAGTGGGACGATCGTGCATTTTTTCTACCCTTCTTGAATAAAATTGCCATTTCATCGCAGAATAATTTATCTAAGAGTGATTCTAACCCACCCAAATGCAAGAATGAGCGCTCTTTTAAATCACAACTAAGATACTTAATCGTGACGTTATTGATTTTCTTCTAAACCCCTTTACGATGTTTGTTTAGACATCGTTTATTGGGCCCAAATTCTGATTAGAATCTTTAAAAGAATTTTCTCAGAAATCAAGACTGTTCTTTGTATTTTCCAAATCGATAACACTCGATGTTGTTTAACAACTTTATCACATTCCCGTCGCAATTTCCGTTTTTTCTCCATTTCCAATACGTATGTCCACAAATTTCGCCTGCAGCACTGTATTTTTGGGTGGATACTGTAATTCTATCTGTCTTCCGAGAAATTTCACTATTTTATTCGAATGTCAATCACGTCTCACGTTTAAAAGAAGCCTCCACCCAAGTCCATTCGCTCTCTCTCGCTCTCTCCTTTGACCAGAAATCAAGTAATTTCTCGTGAAAATAAGATAAGAATGTAAATGTGTTGTTGTTGTTCATTTATCTCTTGGCGAAATCGCTATCTCGGTGACAAAAATGCTGACAACGCGTGCACTCCAGATGTTGACGAAGGGATCAATGCTCGGACTTTCCCGAAAGGTGTTCCGCAAACGCCACCTCTGAAGGGTCGTGGCCAGACATTCCTCGGTCAGTGTTTATTTTAGTTTCTGGCGATGATGAATGGCATTTCTTTGACCATTTCATCTCCTCTGCCATGCGATGCCATTGGAGGAGAAGCGCTCATCGTGACGCTAACACATGTGCGCGGCGAGGGCGAAAGGTGAGAACGCAGTGCAGCCTCAATTGTGAACAGTTTCAGGGGGAATTCGAAGGGATGTTGCGAGAAGGGCCGGCTTGGGAGAGACCGCTGGCAGTCCTTGAGGCAATTGTACACCTCATCCGGCGTGTTGACTTTCACGATGCGGAAAGTGGATTCCTGGGAAAATCAACACCTTTCCCAATATGAGATTTATATCGCCGATTCTCGTCGGCGTCATACTCAAGAAGCATGGGAAACGAGAGCGGGAAATTATATAACGCGCAGTGTCTCTAATTGAAAAGACACACAGCTAAAAATATATGCAAAACTACACAAGGCAGAACGACCGCGTCGACTGCGAGAGGAAGGGAAGCGTCTGGTGAAGAAGCACTGGGTGAAGGAGGAGGATTTTGAGGAATGTTGGCAGGAAAGCGCAATGCTAATGTGGCCAAAGTGAATAATAATAATAATTGAGGATGATAAGAGCGACTTGGGCTGATAAGAATTGGCGCCTTTTTATGGGATTTCATTCAGTAACACCTTTCAAATGGAATGAGATCAGGCAAATACACTGGCGGCCCAAGGGAGAGACACTCAGCGCGGCGGGAAAGTTGTCAACAGCCACCTTCGCATGGCGCACACCGTGAAGAAGTGTATATAAAAACGTCAAAATAGAGTTGCATATGGAGAATGATTAACAAATACAACCATTAAACAGGGTGTTTATCATTTATCACTCAGCAGTGTTCAGTTCATATAATAAAAGATGAAAATAAACTGTGCTGGGCTGATTTGAAACAGTTTATTTATCAGACAAATATTATTTTAAGATGTTTACGTGAGAATAGTGTGAATGTGGTCCGTGGGCCTCCGCGCCCATTTCAATGAGCACCGATTGATGCGAAAATTTTTCATCACATGCAGTTTAACACATTTGCCCGTGTGAAATGGCTGTGATTGACAGTGAGCAATTTCACGCCTAGCTCAGCTTTTTCACATGGAGTTTACACACCAATTCACAGGCCAATCCGATGGGTCACTGCTGAAGTTCTCACGCCAGAAAGCGTTAGAAAATAAGTCACGGATCGATGAGTTCTACGCTAAGTTCAAAGATCGATCTTCGCATCAAGGGGAATATAGTATGCCTTAAATCTGTTTTACTTGAACGTTTCAGTTAAATCTTTTAAGTTCCCAACCCATGTTTCTGTAAGAATCCACTGAAAACAGTTTTTTTGGGTGTCTTTTTCGACCACAACCTAAAAAATCGCTAAAGATTCCGTTTCAAAGTTTTCTAGATCACAAAATAACTTGTTTGACTTGCCAATGAATTCAAAATTGATGATTTAGAGTCAAAATTGTCCAAAAAGTGTTCAAAATCAATATTTTCCAAGTCCAAGTCAATATTTTTGAGGTTATGTTTGCTATCAACGAAATTTGCAAGGTTTTTTTTAGTATCAAAGGCACAGATTAGCAATGTTTATTGCATGTAAATGCCTCATTGTGCCAATAACTGGCGATTTCTCGGATTTTAGCATAAGAATTGAAGTACTAGGATGCGAATTATACTAACTGTATATGTCTTTGATTTGCTACATAACCTAGAAAAGGATTTTTATGATTGTTTCTATGTAAGAGTTAAAAAAAATTCAAAGAATCGGTAAATGAATGTTGTAAGTTTTTGAACACTTCCACTTCCTATAATACTTCCAGTGAGCTGTACACTATTTCTGACTATATTATCTCTCTCTTTTGTTCGGATTTCATTGCTTGATTGCCAGTGTACATCATATGAAGTGAATGCCAATACCTTGCAGCGCACTGAGAGAAAATGAAATAAGGAAAATCCTGGGCTTTCCGTCTAATTCCTCACAATAAAACTAAAGAGAAAAACACTTGGACGAAACTATTGACATAGAATCCGAGAAACCTCTCTTATCACGACTCTAATTGCCATATTATTTGAACATTCACCTTGTTTCGTCAAAGGAGTTACGCATCAACATTTCGTGTGACGAAAATTTATTATCTTTTTTCTCTTCTCCTTCGCCACGAGTAGCCATAATTTTTATTAATATTTTTTATTTCACCCCACAGCGAGAAAATGCCACTGAAAGAGCGCCAGCGTCTGCGATATGATATTTTTGCGCTGAAAGATCTTTCCCAGAACCTCGAAGATTGATGTTTTGATCGGCGTGTTTATGCCCACAGTGTTTATCTCAGGACGCTTGAGATCTTTTACGCTCAGTCATGCAAAGGATCAATCAATATCATTTCGCAATCGAATGGGCTTCTCGTGAGAAAGTTGTGGCCAGTTTTTTCTGCCAGCGCCTCATCCAGAGAAACTGACCTCAGAAGACTTCTTCACCCATATTTCTTCCTTTCTCTCTGGCGCGCTCGCGACTCCCACAGCCCATTTATTTGCCCATGGTTGCGTTTTTGGCGCGAGCGCGGATTTTCGGGGGGGCTTTAATTGAGCCACACACACACACACACACTGGCAAACACACCCAACAACGCGTCCTCTCATCTGGCCATTGAACTTTTGTACCAAATTCTGGAGATGGGCGCGCTTTTACTCTCTTTCCTCGTCTCGACATCGCGAGGGAAAAGCCAGAGAAAATTCACGCCGCAGCGTGGAAAATGTGCGGTGATGAAAAAGAGTAGCTTGTGTTCATGTTTCAGCCCAGCTTTATCAATTAATTCTCATGCCGAGTCTCCGTTTTATGGCAATAAAATAAAAACATGCCTCAATTCTGAGACGGTGCGCTACCGCCTGGGTCAGGGAGGAGTGTCGGAGGCATTGTAAGACAATTATGTGAAGCCTCATCGGGAAAAAGTGGAGCAAACAGAATTCAGAACCTTGACGATGCACTCGATTGTTGGTTCACTGGGTGAAGAGGGGATGATTTGGATTAAATCTACAGCCACTTTCTTAATCTACCTTAAGTCTAGCATAGAAACTCACCGGCTGGACGATGAGTCCTTCGTGGGCCGTCATCCTCGATTAAATGAGCTCGTCGGGCTTCGGCGGCGTGCGGAGTTTCCCGCCACTGGATTGAAGTTATGGCACAGAAGATGAAAAACCACAAAGTTTTCAGTGAGTTCGCCATTGTAATGATATTGGACAGTCTCTGAGTCCTTTGATTCCTCTTAAAGGCAGTCTTTTAAAGCACTCGATCACTCTCGCCTCTCGAGGGGGTATCAACAGTTTGTTTTTTTTCTCTCAGTGTCACACAGACGCGCTAAATTCTCTCCACTATCGCCTCTACCTTCAATTGTTTGTACAACTTTATATGAGGATCATTGAGTATTTTTAATCGCTCTTGATAATGTGACATATTGAACAAGTTTCCCGTCGATTGAGACTCTCCACGGCGGGAGAAAACTCCATATGAAGACGTCCGCGGAAAAATCCACAAGCACTCGCGCACGTATTTGAAAAGTATGGAGTCACTTGATCGAATGTCTATTAATTTAAATTAATTAAAGATGAAATTCTCTATCAGTGTGTGTGTGTTATTTTTTCAACTGCCCGAACTGGCAATGATCGTCGCTCTAGGGAGGAAGAGAGAGAAAAAGTACAAATCAATTTAAAACTGCTCAAATCCAACATTTGCACACACTCAGAGAAATCCGGGGGACTTTCCCTGAATGCACGCCACAGGGTCGCGCCTTCCCGCGTCATTTTCCATCTCCTCCGGCTTGAATCACATGAAATTATGCCCATTTGGCACGGTTCTGCCGCCTCTCCATTCACAGAAACCATCATAGAGGCAAACACACAGAGCGTAAAGTGAGCAGAAAAAGCGCGTCAGCAAAAAAAAGACAGTGAATATGCCTTGTGAATGAACGGGCTTGCAATTAATGGAATCGTGCTGTGCCTTATTAATTTCTGCCCCACCATCGCGGCTGCAGGTAAGTTAAGTTTCAATTTTTTCGGGATCGAGCGCTGGCCTGATAAAAAAATCACTTTTACATTTATCGAGGAGACTTACGGCGCGCGAAGGGGACAAAAAGCGAAACTGATAAGATGGGCGAGTTGGGAGGAGGTGAGAATTAATTACGTGTGATGTGTGGTGCGAGGCAGAAGCGGAAAAAAGCGGTCAGAGGCAACAAATGGATTCTTGGACAGCATGTCTTCGGGCAGGGAAACCAATGCAGGAATGAGGAAAGTCTCAATGTAGAACGAATTCAAATTGTTGACCAAATTTTGGAGAACTTTCATTCAATTCTTTGTGAATGATTCTTGCATGCCAAGGAAATTACATAGAATTTCAAGGAGTCTTTCCAATGTGACAAAGATAATCCAAAAATCGGACTAGAACTCTTAGGACACAGTTATAAGAGCCAAATCGAAGGCTCAGGACGCAAAATGCGCATGGCTTTAATGAAGGTGATTGAAAAATTTCTCATACTTTAAATTTCAAGGATATATCGTACAAAAGACAAGGAGTAATAATGTTAGTAAAATATGCAACAAGATGCTTCGGATTTGAAGACTTTGCATTGACTTCTCTAACTCCTCCTGAGATTATATTCTTGTCAGGTCTGAATGCTAGAATTCTATCGCTACTCAAGCCTCAGAATCGCACAACGATTGACCTTTTCGATCACGGAAAGCCTGAGAATTCGCAATGGAGTGTGGCGCGCGTTCCTCGGACTGTTAGTTTCTCTGGTGCACCCAAGACAGGAAGGAGATGCATTTTGATGTGTGGATCCGGCACGTGCGTGAAATTGAAGGGAAGACAGAGGAGAAAGAACAACACGACAGACTAATTATAGAGCAAAGGGGTCTCGAGGAGGCGCAGACCAAGAGAGTTTAGCCTTTAAATGGTAAATTTGAGAGCTCGCGAGCCTCGTAAATCCGTCGCGAGTGCACATTCGCGGTCCGGCGGAGACAAGAGAAGTATCTCTTCCATTGAGAGAATTGAAAAGCTGCCACCTCCAACGGTGCCACTCTATGGTTAAAAAAGAGCTACCAATAAATTACAATAACTTAATGATTTTTAATCAAATAAGAATAGCGCGACGCTGTGGCAATTTTCGCGCGCGCGCGTGCAAGTATGAGTTCAGCAATAATGGTCATATGCGCGAGTGTCGAGAAAATTTCACAACATGTTGAGCGGTGGAAAAAATTAATTAATTAATTAGAGAACTAGTTTTATAGATGCTGCTTGGCTTTTCTATCTATATTGACAGGCCAGCCACACAAGAACTTCCAGCACTGCGCCGCGCGATCTTTCTCACACACTCGCGCTCAATCGCGAACAAATTGCGGATTGATTCTTGAGATGTAGCATTTTTTCCGCGCCGATCAGCATCGCCACACTTGAGATCATTGAGCAAAATGAGGGCCCGCGCAAAAAAGGCCCACCGCGGAGAAAATCGAAAGTAAGAAGCCGATTTGGCGGCTCGAGCGTGTGTGGAAAATTGCACCGTGGAAAGTTTACAGATCGATGACAAATTATGTGCGATTTTGTCGCCTGCGGAGATGGAAAATGGGCATGACGCAGTCGCGGCGGTGCACGTACGAGATGGCAAAGGTGTAGTCACTCGTGCTGCCGAGGGCGGGTCACACGTTAGCACTCCGTCACGGGTCACAGCAGAGCCACTTTGAAAAAGTAGAACTTGAGAGAGCCTCGCAGTGCTCGAGCGTTAGGTGTCTTTCCCTCCACAGATCGCGTTCAACTGCTCACGACTCCGCTCCCGATGCGAATTCAATGCGCGACGCAGCCTCGGCGCCTGTGTTGGTGAGCCGCGTGTCGTCACATGATCGAGAGAGGCATCAACACAGGCGAGTGCACATCCGCAGATCGCCACACATGGCCAAAGACCGACGAGGAGCCCCAGAGAGGAAAAGCCACTTTTCCACCATTTCCACCGGCCCTCAGCGCCGCCACTCGCCGCGGCGAAATGCGCCGCCTCGCCGCGCAATCAGCACAAGCGAGGCGTCACCGATGTGAGCGCTGTAATGCACTGTGCAATGCCATGCAATGCAATGCAAGATGGGACTTCTGTCTCTCCACAAGCTGATAATTTGTCTAATTTTATCAAGAATTTAATCGAAATTCGCCTCTTTATACCATCTTCACAAAGTAGACCACGAAGAGAATTTCCTCAACAAATAGAGAGTATAAAGGATGCTTGGAAAGATCCGCAAATTTGAGGTGAAGAATATCCTTTAGTTTCGCATAAGCTAAGGGATTTATCAGACATGAACCTTGATTTGCACTCTAATCAGATGGAATTCACTTCGAAAGAGCTCGAACGGGTTGCCAGATTCTCATTTTGAAAAGAGGCGCCATCTTTTCTCTTCTCTTTCTCTGTCCTTTTAAAATTTTATTCTCTCGTGAGCTTTTTTCACAATAGATTACTAAATTTTCAAAGAGAAGTGAAAAAATGTTTTGAAAGGAATCATTGTTAATACTTCTGGCAAAACAGCTGCAGGAAATCTGCAATATTCGGGGTGCCCAATGGAAATTTGTTTTTTTCCCTATTTGTGCTCTTTTGTGGCAAATAAACCATTTTCATGAACAAAATTGTGCTTTTAACCACTAATTAAACAATTGCCTTTCAATCTAAACTATTTTTAGCCGAAAAGAATGTTTAAAAACGTTTCTCTAAAAAAAAAACTAGCGTCATATCCCACTAGCTTTAAAGTTATCGACAAACGAATTATCGACAATGAATTTTAACACAATTTTAGGGGAAAATCGACATTCTAAAGACTAATAAGTTCATATCAGTCCTATTTTTTCCCTGAAGTTGTGGCAGTAAAAAGCAAATTGCACGTTTTTCGTATCGATAAGTGTCGGTATTGGGAAGAACTTGCCGACACTTTAGCATAGTTGAATAACTCGCTATGGCTGCTAATGCTGTCAAGCTTCGTTGTCCTTTTAGGCCTTCTAGCAAAAGCCAAAGCTCTCCTGAGCAATCTGCATCTTGAGATGTGTCCGATATGTCGCGTTGGTGAAGAGAGGCTTGTCTTCGGGGGCTCACGAGAGTGTTCTCAGCTTCCTCTCCGCCTTCATCATCTCCATGGCGGCGCATTTTGTTTCTTTAATACCTTTTTCCTCATCTCCCAAACCATGATTCATGTTCACACCGGGTTTTGTGGTTTTCGGCGGCACATAAAGTGTTGGCGCAGGAGAGGAGAAAAAGGCCCCATAAGTAACAGACAAGCAGCATACCTCTGGAGATTATCGTCTCAATGCGTGTAGTCGTGGTTGTCTTTTGATACCTTCCTCAATCTATAGCGGAGGCCCATCGGCCGTGAGACTTTGAGCTCCGCAACACCGTGTTTCCGTTTGTATGGCAATGCATTGTGTGTGCGCGCTTCATTCACGCGATGGCAACATTTTCATCTGGATTTCGGATAGATATTCTTCAAAAGTTTATCAATTTCTCACTTTCAATCTCTCTCTTTCTTGTGCCTCTTGCGGGCGCTCTGTGAGAGAATTCAGCGTATGGCAATATAAAAGGTATTTTTCCAATGAAGGCGAGAGATCAGCGGCAATACCTCGAATTGCACTCGCACAAGTGATTTTCAGGGAATCTCACTCGAGTGTATGGGCGGTGAGAGATTGGAATTTGGTACAGAAAAAGCTACTTTAGCCACCAATTCTTAATTATACCAACACGTAGCAGGATGTTTTCTTTATTCACACGTCCATTGAGAGTCTCTTTCATTGATTGTGCCCTTTGTCGCCGAACAAAAGTGTGGAATGTGAAGTTTACCTACGTGTGAAGACTGTATCCTTTCCGGTGATTGTATTTACACACCAAATCCTTCGCTTTCGGGTCCTTTTGCATGCATTTTTCGTCTCTTCTCAGTATTTCTCACAATGAAAAGCGTGTGTAGTGCATTTGCTGCGTGTACTGTTTTGGCGCGATATTCTCATCGAGCATATGCGCGCTGTTGGTCGAAACGTCAACGCATAACCTCAAAAAGCTGATCAGCTGCGGCGTCTGGTGAAGATTTTTGCTGGATAATTACCAGAGTTCTCCAGGTTCCGAGGGAAGATGGCTGACAGCGAGAGTGACCACCTGACCCTGGCGACGGGCGGATACGATCACACCATCAAACTATGGCAAGCACACACGGGAATATGCATAAGGACAATGCAGCACTTGGACTCGGTGAGTTGCCGGCCTTCCGGAAGCCACTCCGCGGGCTTCTAACACTGCTTTTGTCCTTGTCTCGACAGCAAGTGAATGCCTTGGAGATCACTCCTGGACGCACAATGCTGGCCGCCTGTGGATATCAGCACATCCGCCTGTACGACATGATTTCCAACAATCCCATCGTCAACTTCGACGGAGTGTCCAAGAACATCTCCAGCGTGGGCTTCGAGGAGACCGGCAAGTGGATGTTCACGGGCGGCGAGGACCACCACGTGCGCATCTGGGACATGACGTCCAACAATCCCGCCTGCAAGAGGATGTTCGACTGTATGTCCCCGATAAATTCCGTCTGTCTGCATCCGAATCAGGTGGAGATGGCTATAGGTGCGCAGAATGGGGGCGTTTACCTCTGGGACGTGAAGTCGGACGCCCATGAGCAGCTCATTCCGGAGGTGGACGCCTCCATTCAATCCATTGCGATCAGCCCCAACGGCGCCCTCATGGCGGCCGTGAACAACAAGGGCAAGTGCTACATCTGGAGTCTCAACACCACTTCCAGCAGCAAACTGAGCGTCCTGCAGCCAAAGCACAAGATCGATGCACACAAAAAGTACGCGCTCAAGTGCAAATTCAGCCCGGATTCCAGGTGAGTCAGGCGATTGACGCCCAAAAACTGCCGGAAATGCTCACGAATGAATGCTCTGCTTTGCAGCCTCTTACTGACCACATCCGCGGACTCCACGGCGAAATTGTGGAGCACCAGCGACTTCTCGCAGTATCGCGAGCTGCGGATTGACAAGAAGCGCTGGATCTGGGACGCCGCCTTCAGCGCTGACTCGCAGTACCTCTTCACAGCCTCGTCGGACGGAATCGCGAGGCTGTGGAACATCAGCACGCGAGAAATCGACCGGGAGTACATCGGACACCAGCGAGCCATCACGGCGCTGGCCTTCCGCGACGAGGTGGTGCCCTGAATGCCCCGCCCAGCACTTAACAGCCCCCTTGTGATGTGTAAGTAGACACTGTTTGTACGACTCCTCATCTTGATGTTCATCTTCTTTTAAGCCATAAGTAACTGAAAAAGTGAGATACAATTACAATATTTGCAAAATGCGACGTTGATTTAGTCCAGAAGGTGCGACAGGTGGTCCACAGTGGTTGACTGATGGAAGTCCGGACTGGCGTCTGAGGTGTATTTCACAGTGCAGGAGAGATGGAGGTCCTCGCGCGCGGGGTTGTCGATGAGGATCACCTGCGTGATGTCCTCCACGGCGGAGCGGAAGGGCCGGACGCCCGCCAGGGAGTCACCAGAGGCGGCCAGGAGCTTCAGGCGCGCCGTGGATGCGGGCACTGGGCTGATGGACGTCTCCAGACGAATACTGCTGATGGTTTCCGTGGATTGATTAGAAATTGTGGCCACAATCACAGCAACGCTGGGCTTGGGATGTGTGCGAGTAAAGTTCAGCAGAACTTTCAGTCCTTTCGGCTGATTCAGCACCTCACGCGGCAGCTTCTTCTCGTCCGGAAGGAGCTTCTCGATGTCCACGGTGATCTGTTCGAGTGCATCTGGTGCCTTTTCGGGTTGCTTCACTGGAGAACTTTGCGCTGGCTTAAGCATTTCACTCACGAGACTATCGATGTCAATCGAGGGCTTTACAGGTGGCTTCCTCGGTTGACTGGAAGTGTCTGGCGTGTCCACGAGGAGCAGGAGATCATCCTGCTTCTCCATCACAGGTGCAGGAGTTAGAATGTCCAGGACTGGCGGCACTGGATCCGCCTGAATTGCACTGAAAATGTCACTCAACTCATTCATGTCGTCTCCCGTGGGCGCTTCCGACGCCCCTTCGGCGCCCAGCATTGGAATCTCTATGAGGGAGTCGAGATGGGGCAGTGTGTGACTGGGGGTGCCCTGCAGGACGCCATCGGGCGCCTTCTTCAGCACCAGCGAGTTGAACTTCTCAATCACCACGTGCAGGCGATCGTTGGTCTCCAGCGCGTCGCACATGATCTTCTCAGTCTGATTCTGCTCCTGCGCCAGCAGCATTATTGTCGGCTGCACCTCCTTGCAGTTCTCGAAGAGCTCATTGATGAGCGCCCAGTCGTCCAAGGATGTGTCCTCACAGCTGAACTGGTCAATCATGTCGTTCAGCAGCTCCACATTGGCCTTCCCCCGCGCCAATTCCTTCACGCGCAGCATCTTCTTCTCCTCCTCCTTCACCATGTTCACCATCATGAGCTTGGCCGCCTGGATGTCGGCGGGATTCTTGCTGCACAGCAATTGCTGGAACTTGACCGTGTTGGGATCCTCGGGCGGTTTGCTGGCCTTTGGCGGCGGCTTCGCCGGAGCGCTGCTGGGCTTGATGGCCTGCATGGGTTCGTGCTTGATGCCCTGCTTCAGCAGCATCTCGTACGACTCCTGAATCTTCGTCTCCGCTGGATAGTCCACAGTCCAGAGCAGCATCAAGTCCAGTATCTTGTCCTTCACCTCCTTGTCCGTGGTGTCGCCGTTGTACTTCCGCGACACGAGCTTGATGAGCTCATTCAGGAAGCGAAATGTGCCCACTTTCGCCCGGAAATCCTCACCACATCGCGCCATACATTCCTCAAGCAATTCCAGGGCATTCAGCGCTTCCTTCTTGTTCATCGACTGAATCCTCTCAGCCAGCAGCTTCGTGGCTATCGTGGTGGTGGAGGGATCGCTCCTCACGGCGTAGCAAAAGGCATCCATCGCGGAGATCTCCAGATCCGATGAAGAAGGGTTTGTGGCTCGCTCTGGAAGGGAATTCCGGTCAAAATCCAATGAGAATCACAACTTTTAGCGCTCACCGATCATCTGATCGAGTCTCTCCTTGACTGCATTGTCCATTGTGAGGGAATATCGAGGGGGAAATCTTGGATTTTCAGCACAAAACACTCCTCTTCCTTCGGCGAAAAAATCACCCTATATTTTAGGTTTCTTGACGTCTCTCGAATAGCCCCGCTGGTGGCGACACCTGGCGGATTTTTGTGACATATTTATTACATTTTTGTACACATTTCCAGAGAAATTATGAAGTATGACAAAATCTTTGACTTTCACGAATAATTTAAGTTCGTTCATATTGAAATATTCTTGCTGTATATGGAATACTTGGAGAGAGTTGTGAAGTTTTCTACTCCACCATAGTTTCCTTTCAATCGGATATTTGGGTGGGTGTAAAAAAAACATGTCTCGTCCGTTACGTGTAAAATAAAGACAGTGCGGCTGTGGACACAAAAAGAGGAAAAATGGGGAAGAATCTTCGCGATATGTCTTAGCAAAATAGAGAATATTTAGGTAAATAGGTAAGTGGAATTTGCACTTGAGCTGCAGTTAGGAATGCAGACTCTCAGTTTATGAGTGAGGAGTGATAAAAAGTGGATGGATTGTGGGCAAAAACCATCGGTTAAGGAGGTGAAATTTTCTTAGCCATTTTGCGGGTGGAATTTGGCAAGAAGCTCTGGGCAGAGAAACTGTGTTTGTTTGGTTGGGAAAGGGTTGATTTGGGGTGTGCGAGAGCAGGGTGGAATTGTGGGGATGTCGAGGAGGTGGTATGTGATTGTGAGGGGAAATGCGGGGTGGATTTGTGGAGGGAAATTGCGGAGAAAATCGGGAAGCGTCCTTTTTGTAGAGGTTATGATGGGGTTCTCACAGTTCGACTGTGCGTTCCGTTGCAGACTGGACAGAGCAGACTGAAGCTAGGGCATTGGGGTGATCCTGTCGCTGGACTGTGAGCGGAGTGGCCATGTCACAGAGTGAGGATTCCGCACGAGACGACGGGGACACCCTGATGGACACGGACGACACGCACTTCATCCAGCCGGCGCCCCCGGACAAGCTGCCGGCGAGCGTGGAGGCTTCGCAGGCGAAGCCGTGTCCCGAGGGCAACACCATCATGATCACAAACAAGTATGCCGGCGCGAGCCAGACGCACAACGCCAACAACTCCATCATGATCCTCACCGCGCATCCGGACGTGTCCAACATCACGTCCTCGAGTCAGATCAACATCTGCATCAACAACCACTTCAGCGACAGCATCACCAGCTCCTCGGCCACCGTCAGCACGGAGGGCGCCAAGGGCGAGGCGCAGGAGGAGCCAGACTCCACCACGTGCCACTTCAAAGACTCCCGATCTCAGGCCAGCGCCGCCGCCGCGGCCGCAGCGCCCCCACCGAAGGAGGCCCACTTCGTCAGCGGCGACGAGGTGCTGGTGCACCGCGACGACCTCTTCTACCTGGGCACAGTGATGCACGTGTACAGGAAGCAGTGCCTCGTGACCTTTGGCGACGACACCAAGTGCTGGGCGTACTTCCACGAGATGCGCAAGATCGCGCCGGAGGCCGAGGGCCCGGCGTGCGTGCACTGCAAGGAGCGCGGCGGCCAGGAACCTGACTCCGTTGTGGACGTGTGCCAACGCTGCCAGCGAGGGTTCCACAAGAAGTGTTCAGGCGTGGAGCCGAAGACGGGCGGAATTCACTGCAAGAGGTGAGTTTCCACGATTAAATCCTCTATTTTGGTCAACGCTCGACCTTTTTGCACGTCAAATTGTGCTGGGGAAAGCCCGATCAAGCTCTATTTTGAAAGTAATTTATAATATGGTAAGCTAGCCTTGGCGTTTGCCTATCACACGTCCTTTCGTCGCATTAGAAACAGAGAAAAACGAATCTCAAGACGAGATCAGTGAGCATAAAACTGCAGCCGATCAGTGCATTGCTTCCGCTGCAACTGCAATTGTTGTTCATTGACCCACTTTTGTTGTGTCTTTTCAGGTGTTTCGAACAAAATAGTCTGAATGGCGTGAACGGTGGCAGATACTGTAGTAAGAATAACAATTTGATGGGTGATGAACGATTGTCGTACTCGGACAATTCTCTATCGCCATTTGATGTGAGTGTCACACAGTGTGCGAGTGGCGGAATTGCAGTTTGCTAATGATTTGTGCTGTTGCGTTGCAGACAGGGAACTTCTTTCGCTCGTCTGACTACAAGGACGCGTGGTCGGGATCGCCGAACTCTGACCTGAGCACGGGATCGTCCAATGGGAACTACAAGGGCCGAAAGTTCACGTGCGGACGGCGATTGCGGGAGCGACAGGAGAAGAACTATGCCGAGAACACGCGGCGCACGACGGCGTCCGTGTCCACGCCACAGCCGTCGTCTGGCTGCTCCGACGCTTCCTCGTCATCGTCCTCGTCGTCGTCGCTGGTGAACTTCTCGGCGGCCACATTCCTCAGCCAGCAGCTGCTCAGCAGCCAGCGCGTGACGAAGAGTCCGTGCGGCGCGGAGAAGGGCGGCGGCCTGTTCGGGAAGATCTTCGACACCAGCACACCGACGCACCTGGCGAACGGGAACAAGTACGTGATCCGCGGCAAGAGGATGGACTCGGACGGGAACATTCAGTACCTCGTGGAGTGGGAGGGCGTGTCCTAATCGGGGATCGACTGCCCAGTGCGGGTTTGCAGTCGAAGTGGTCGTCAAACTATGAATCTAATGAACTCTGAGTGTATTTTTTGCGGAGACGAATCCATTTGCGAAGTGAGACAGTCTCCTTCGCTGCTACAACGGCGTCCTTTTGGCGTGTGGTTTATCGTGAGGTTTTAGCTAAGGCGACTATATGAAAATTGATTTGTATTGTGACAATGAAAAGTGGGAAAAGGAAACAAAGTTAGAGATTTGCAAAAAAAAAGAGAAATAAATTGATGATGCACTGCCAATTTTTTGTAAAGTGAGAGAGAGAGAGAGAGAGATTAACAAATTATTTCTTTGACATTTCTGTCTCTCCTAAAAGACGAAGTTATTATAAATGGTCAAAATAAAATTGTGGAAGTGAAAGATGTTCACAAATATTTCCCTAAAAATTAACGGTCTTTTTATTTATCCGTTTCTGTTCTTCTCAGTACAAAAGAATCATTTGATTTTTCTCTTCCCCATCAATAATAATAATACAAAATCTGTTTTGAAAGCAAGAGTAAATAAGGAATTATAACACATCGATTTTAACAAATTTTCACGATAAGGCAGATTTTTCTTTGTCTTCGTCCGCGATAGATTGGTGGATTTGCACTTGATGATTTTGGTTAAGATATAGCAGATTTATCACAGTTGTTACTCTCGTCCAAGCTTCATCCGAAATCCACACATTCCGCTCGTGATGGCTCAATTAGCACTCTTGTTGGCTACTGAAGAGGCTCCTCGTCTTCATTGGTGGGCGCGCAAGTCCACTTCTTCGTGATGGTGAGCACAATTCCCACAATCACGAGCACTCCGCCGAGTCCCACAATGCCAAAGGCAAGATAAAGGCCGAAATCCGATAAGTTGACGGCCCACTGAAAGTACATAAGAGTTGCAATTGTGAGTACAATCGCCTTGACTCAGAATTCAACAATCTCTGAATTGCACTGTAAGCAAAACAAAAAGTAGATAAGCTCTAAAGCATGTGTGGAATTAAATGTGTTGTTATCCAATTATTAGGAAAAATCTCAATTCCCCCCAGAGGAATCTTTGAAATGTGTGGGTAAAATGACGTCATAACGTCTAACTTCACTCTCTGCGATCTTAAGCTCAAGCATGGAAAGAGAAGCTCAAGAGAAACTCTATCAAAACACTAGAAAAGGCAAATCGGCCATCAAGTTTATGATTTAATGAATAATTCTAGCCACTTGTTTTTGAGTTCTCCTTGACTTTTCCCATAAGATTCTTATGAAACTCCTCAAATTCAAGCTTGAATTGTCACCAAAGCAAAACACTTGCAATCTGGAGTGGCTAGAAAGAGTGAGAAAAGGATCTCCAAAGAGGACTCACCCAGGCGGACTTCGCGAGGTCCTCCGTCAGATTGGCCGTTTGTCTGAACCACAGCATTGGGATGAAGATTTTGGGGACTTTCTCGAAGATGGAGAAGTGCTCGTCCGGCGTCATCATGAGGTTCAGCTGCAGCTGCCCTCGAATGTCCAGCGGAATGCCTGTCTGTGGCTGCAGCGCCATGTAGAACTCGTGCTCCTCCCGTGAGGCATTCAGGCCGGCGATAGCGTCGCTGTAGCTCGAATCCGCGAGGTAGAAGTGTGGGAAGGACATGAAGGCTGGAGCGCCGAATTGGCACGACGACACGTTCAGGACACCCGGCAGCAGGTCCGGACAGGCTGACGGATCGGCCGTGCAGTAGCACGCGGCCGGCGGATATTTCCAGCCATTGTCCAGCACTCGCTCATCTGCCACCCATCGATTCCCGCTCAGGCCCAGCTTCTCCACCGGGCGATCGTACTTGAGCGTGATCGTTCGGCAAATGTCCGGCGTGAACATGGCGATGTCCACTTCAGACTGATCCGCAGGCAGCGGCGGCCAGATCTCGCCGGTCGTCCCTGTCACGGCGCCGCATTGGTCCCTGTAGTATTGCGTGTGGTTGACGTAGTTCCAGTGCTCCATGACGCCCAGCTTGGCCATGTCGTCGTCGCCGGTGAAGATGCTGAAGTGGCCATCGTGCGTGGCGCTCTGGTTGCGCTCCACGAACCACCCGACCTTCTTGAAGGGGATCACGAAGCCTGATATGTTGAGTTTGCGGACAAAGTCCAGGATGGGATCGTCATAGCCGTCGAAGAGCAGCTCGCGCACCGTCCGCGTGATGGTCATGCGCGCGCCCTTCTCCTTGAACAGGAAGTTCACAATCATCTTCACCACAACGGACTGATGGCGCAGCGTGTACGCGATCGTGGTGGGAATCAAGTTGAGGTTCGTCACCTTATCATCCAAAGTGCCATTGGACATTTCAGGGACGAAGTGCCACTCGCGGCTCTGATTGAAGGAAACCGTGCCATTGTTGTTCCACACAATATTCACCCTCTTGCGCTTCTCCGTGAACACATACGGGCCCATTTCCACGAAGTGCGGCTTCTCCGTCTCCCAATTGTGTATCTTGTCGGGGTTCGTCCAGTTGAACATGTAGAACTCCAAGTACATGGGAATTGGCGTCTCTATCCAGTTGTTGTACGTCTGCGAGCCATTCTTCAGGACGAGTTGCTGCAATAAATTGAAGAACAAACACGATATTAACAGCTTTATCCAAAAGAGAAAGTCACAAGCTGATTTTTGAGGAAATATTGAATGAAAATACTCAAAAATACACATTTTTCACAAGGGCACAAATAGAAATTAATTAAAATCCATCCATAATTCAAATATTTATTTGCCAAATATTCAGAAACTAATTGAAAATCGCATGAGACATTGAAAATTTTAATAAAATTTAGGAAAGTCAAAAATTATTGTATATTCACAAAAGTGAATGGTTTGAATCCATTAGTGACTTTCCTCTTAGCTTTATCAGTGACTTTGATAAGAACACCCTAAAAAAATCTTCAACGCACTTGTCAATTCGTAGAACTTGAGATAAGCGGAAAAAATCTATTGACAAGCACTCTTGCAATATAATAAACTGAGACAAAGGTCTCTGAATAATCCATCGATCTTCATACACACGAAGGCAAGACAGTGAAAAACGGCCACAAAAAAGCCCAATTGCGCAATGAGAGACTTTCTCCCAAATGGCCACGAAAACTCACGTTGTGGAGAATGCTGACGGACACTGCGCTCCACACCACGGCCAGGATCATTCCCGCGAGGAGGAAGAAGGAGCCGCAGCCGAAGATCCACACCTTCTTCGATCTCTCGCTGCACGCACAGGCGGTCATATTGCTGCTCTAGATCACTGGGACAGTCTTGATCATAGCCTCTGCAAGCAGACAAAGGGTGTCACTGTTCACAATGCCGAATTGTTGCTCTGCGAAATGTTGTTGCGCGCACAAGAGAATAAGAGCGACTGATAAAGAGCTGGCGAAATTATCTCATGTCGATGGCTTTAATCAGGATATTGATATGGAGAGGCGAGAGTGTGTGGCAAAAATGGGTGATTTTTGCCCGTGTTCAGCCACAATATTCGAGACAGTGATTCATCAGTTTACAAGCATAGAAAAAGTGCTAAGAAAAACATCGGGTTAGAATGTAATTAGAGAGAATCTTCTCTGAAGCAATCAGAGTTGCTTGTTGTAAATTTACAATAAAGATAGCACGCGCATTGATATAAAAATAAACGAATTCTGCCCAAAATTACTCTGCATTCTTTGCTATGTGAAACAATTTTCTCACAATAACAATCATTATAGAGACATTGAAAAGGTCAGAATTCAATTTCCTTATCAACCTGAGCTTTATATTTCTTTCTTGCTTGCTTTCTTGAGCTGCAAGTTAGTGAGAATTTCTCCCGATAAACCTCAATATCTCCAGACGTAAATGATTTACGGATGTAATAATTGTGGAAGCAGATAACGAATATTAACTCAAAAACAACCAAAGCATTTCGTACAGAAGGACACAAAATCACAACTATTTTTCTTTATCTGCCATCTAAAGTTCAATCAACTCTGTCAGTCAAGAGCTAATAAGGGAAAAAGCGCGCGCTTTTTATAGCGAACTTGTGCGATTTCTTGGCGATTTCGCAACTACAACACCTGTCCTTGGGATTCCCATTGAATCTGGTTAAGCAAATCTCGTGATTCACCTGGCGCGCAGGCCATTTCGCAGGCTCTCCGGCCTGAAGCTCTCGATAGTCGTCGAGGCTGATAAAGATTTCCGCCGATAAGGTTTCTGGTGGCCTGAATGTGCGCATGGACAAGACTTGAGGCGATAAAACGCTCCACATTTTGCACTAAACAGATAAGACAAACAGTGCGATTCTTGTTCTAATCTCGTTCCGGGTCGCATCCGAAGTCTCATCCGCCGAGGCCTTCTGGCCAACTTTCTCGCGATTGATAGTGAGAGTCTTCTGCGCTGTTACACAATATTTGTCTCTCTGTGGATCTCTGGAGCGAAAGCCTGACGAATTCTGGGCCAGACAGCCTGAGAGGCTTGTTGAGGCAAAACAAACAGATTTCTCACCATTTCCCGACGTTGAAGGCACGGGACAAAGTCAAATTTTGAAAATTTCCACCTTGTTCACTGGGAAGCACTCGCAATTGTACTGTTTTCACTACACTAATTAATAAAAATTTTGAGAAATTACTCAACTCTGAATCCGTGTGTTTTCCTTTCTCAATGTTGTCACTTTCAATTGGACGGAACGAATAGCCATCATGAGACATCGCTGAATGGCCATTCACCCTTCCCGAGTGCGGCGCCCCCATGCGGAAAAAAACTGCAGTGCGATTGAATTTGAAGTGTAAATCCGCGGTTTTGTTAACCCTTCAGAATTAAACGAAATTTCTCAATTCTAATCAATAGACTTCTTTCAAATTAGAATGAGAATTGTGAAAAGTATTAATTCTGCGATATTACATAAAAATAACTTATTTACAAATTTCGTGACATATAATTTTGCTTTGAAACTTCTTCTTGAAAATATTCTTCAGGACATTTTTATGTCCCATAAACATTTTCAACTCATAAAACTGTCCTGTTTTTCATCCTCTTCCATAGTTGCGCACAATTCTTCTCAGTGCTGGCCGTATTGGCAGTGAGTTGTGGTGAAAAATTCACAAAATGTGCCACAAAATGTATGGAGAGGAGTTCAATAATTTGAACTAAAACCGAAGGGTGGCAGATCAATATTCCGCCCTTCGTGAGAACTCTTCGCCCATAGTCTAATCAGATTGAGGGCGAGCTGGAAATTAATCCGATCCTGAGCCCGCAACACTATAAACAGCAGCAACAGCACGTAGCCACGGCCGGGGCTCCCTTATGTCGTATTTTAATTAATCCCTAATTGAATTATACCTAATTGAGTGAAATCATATAAAACGGCTACAAAATGTAAACTCACACTTTTGGCCGTGTAATTCATTTTGGCCGTTTTTCCCAGGCTCTCCGTGCGGTTTCCGGGATATCGAGAGGCTAATATTGGCACATGAGCCTCAATTAGAGGGGCGCGCTCTGGCCCATTCAAATTTCATGACAACCGAGAGGAGGACGAGGCCTGATTGCGGCTGTAAAAGTTTTATTGAAAGGTTCTGCTCTATTCTCAATTTTCCAGGGATTTTCCCACAATAATCCACATGGAATTATGTCCAGTCGAGATTATACGGCTCATGTCTTGCCGCACAAGTTCAATTATTTGAATGGATTCCCCAGGGAATGTCTGCTTCACAGCATTCAGTCGCTGATGGATTCTCTCTGGAAGCACAGAGCGAGAGAGAGACAGTGAAATTTGAGGGCCCAAAAAGTCCAGTTGTTCCCCAAGAGAATGGAGAGAGTCATTCATTAGAAAATTCTATAGTGTTTCATTTCGTTGGAAAAGCACACACCCCGGAATCCACTGGGGACTGGTTAATCCATTAATTAGGCGTGAAATTTGCATTTGTCACCCTTTCTGCGCCTTTCCGGGCGCACCTGGAGCCCCCGGAGTGTGTCCCAAATCAAAAATCCCCAGCACACACTCATCTCTCCCACGGGAGCAGGAAATGTAATTCGATCCGAATGGATTTCTCAGTGTGGTTTCCCATCAATGTCTCGCTCAATCAAACCCTAATATGTTCCCCATTCCGCCCCCGAGACTGTCGCCCGGTCCTGAGCTCGTGGTTTCGTCCCTCCACTTGATCTGGGGGTGGACAGAGTGTGTGTTGCATTTCAATATTTCAGCCAAGCGTCCCTCCCCCACGCCCGATCAATGAACTCTGTGTTGTTTTGACATTACTCCAATCGCAGCTTAATAGAGTGAGAGAGTGATGAATTATTTTTTATGTTAATATTTACTGTTGGTGGGTTTCATTGGAATACCTGCGTTTTAATATGTTTTCATAATTTACGAGCTGAATGATTTATCAAGCGAAGCGACACAAATAAGACACAATATTCGAATGTTGTAATGAAATATGCAGAAACAGTCAATAAATGGCAAATCAGTTTAAATGAGCAACAAATATTGTCAAGCATCATACAAATACAATTGCCACGTGGATTTGAACAAGAAATCATATTTAAACTCACATTTTGGCATTTTCTTTAAAAAAAAAAGTTGTTGCTTAAATACACACAGTTATTTTCACTGAAAGAAGGAAGGAAGCGTTAAATCGAGCTATCTTGGGATTAGACCAAAAATGATGGCATTATGTTGTGAAATGAAACCTTTCCAGGAAATGGAAAACACTTTCTGAGAAGTGGAACTTCAAATACTGAGAAAACTCTAAGACAAAAACACATACTGAGAAGTGAAACATTTAATTCAAATACAGAGAAAACTACAAGACGATAATAGGTATGTTTCTAGGAATGTTCATCTGTAACTAAAAACAAAGGGCAGATAATATGATTGGAAGTGGTGTACAGCTTTGCGAAAGTGTTAAGAATTGGAAGTGGTAAAATGGGTAAAATATTTAGAATAATTTCACCGCAAAAAATTCTGTTGCAACAAATTTAGGCATTTTTTAAATTGTTTTGTTTAGAAAAATCATATTTGATGATTTTCTAGGTTATGTGGTTGATTTTATACTTTTAAAACAGATTCTGGTGATTAAGAAGCCCTAAGAATCATCAAATTTGTGTTAAAACTGGAAATATTTGTCCTTTCCTTTGCAAAATTGAGCATTTACGTTAAAAAAAACTTCAGATTGGTTAAATTCCAGTTGTAGAAATCAGCTTAAAAGTCAATCATAACCTAAAAAATGTCATTTCAGTTTAAAGAAAATACTTTTTGAGTGTAAGAAATTGCTGTAATAGTGAAATAAGCGATGGAAAATGCATTTTTTGATGCGTTCAGAAGTGTATGAAGTGTTGAAGATTCTGCACAGACGCTGCAGAATAGTTAGGAAGTGATGTACAGATTTGAGGCGTATTATCTCCCCCTTGGCTAAAAAGACTACAAACTCCTTGACAAAATCTTTTCATCTCCAAAGTGTTTGGTATTTAAAAAGGCTCAATAAACTGTGTAAGTTGGCAATTATGAACTACGAAAAGCTCCACAAAGCGTGTTTTTGGGCTGTAATTAAGAGTTTCACATTTGCACAAACATGCGAATGAAGTTCAAGACAACACTCGCTAAATGTTGTGGCGTTTGCTTAAGATTTAAATGTGCCTTATTTATCATCGTGATATCTGCACAGTTCGAGACGCGGGCGGGAGAATAATGCAGTTTATGAGTTTTAGGGGGTTGTGAAATGCCGCCAGTTAAACAGCGTGGCTTTTTCCACAAGGACTAAAATTGCCCAAATATTTTCGTAAACACAAAGTTCAGTTTGCGATTCATAAGGCAAATACAGTGCCTGTTATAAAGTTGCGAAAGTTCAGTCTTTGTTTGCTCTAATTTCGTTAAGAGCTCGCGAGATCAGCGGAAAATTGTTGCTGGGGAAAATATAAGAATATTCCTGTGAGGTGAATTGAGTGTGATTGTGGTTGAATAATGCAAAAGCTCGTGTGGTTTTCCTTAACTCTCGAAAATGGCTTATGAGAGTGTGATGTGCAATATTAATCGGGACTGAATTAAACCAGGGAACATCAACTAAAGCCATTACAAATATTCTGTCACAGAGATTGACTGGTAGTTTCAACATGCATTGGAATGGATTTCAGGGAAATTCTATATTTAATGCTGTTCACAAATTTTCTCTAGCGACAATTAGTATTCAAAGCGAAAAAGTAAATAATTCGCTTTAATTCCCCACGCGGTGGAACGTGACACCGCATAGGCGATTGTACTGTTCAATTACAGCAGTTTTTCACGTGCACGTCTGATGGAAAAGTGGGTTCATTTCACCTCTTTTCCATATCACGTCACTCGGTGGACAAGAGAGGTGATTTTCACAGGGATTTTCCAATTTATTTGACCACTCTTGTAAGCTGCGAAGCATTTGCCGAATCGGTAAATTGTGGAGAAAATCAGATGCAGATAAATGGAGTATTGGTGGAGCATAAAATGCTGTGAATAGGTTGGAATTTCGTGTGTTATTCTGAAGGAATGGAATGAAAAGGAAATGTTTTGCTGCTGACCAGTACCTCCAGTGTGATTTAGAGAGGTTTTGTGGCATTGCATCATGGCTACAATTTAATTACAGCAGTGAAAAGTGTATTAGTTACAGAGAATATAATAGATTCTGAATACAAATACTCGGAAGCGGAAGTTGAACGAGTTAATAAAGTGAGAATAAAGCGTGGAATAAAGTTACTAAGTTGCTAAAACCATTTTACTCTCGCAGATTAAACACACAATTCAGGAGTGAGAGAATTAGTACTTGTTTTTTTTCTAAAGTCCTGTATTTATTTCATGCCTGAAAGGATTTTGAAGCACTTCTTAAATATTTCTGCGTTCTGCGGTCGTTATAATTTATGAGCGCTCGAGATCTTCTCATTCTGAATTTGCCTGTGAATTTCACACTGTGACTGATATAAATTATTCCGCATATTTAGGGAATAATAAAGCAGAATAGCATCCACACACTTCTCCGCTGGTTTGTGCACAATTTCAATGACGGTGGGCGTAATTAATGGTGATCCTTTCATCGATGGCCTCTTATTAATGATAATGGCTGATTACTCGATTGTATCGATTGAGTGTGATTCATGTAAGTGGATAATAATTATGTGCATCCTCTCTCTCTCTCTTTTAATTAATAGTGTGCCGTCTAATCTATTGGGAAAGTTTGCTATTTGAGAAAATTATTGATATGTCTAATTTAAGGGTGTAAAGTGCACGGCGATTATTATTGCAGCTTCTTTGTCATTACTCCTAATCTCCCGAATGGAATCTTGCGGATGAAGCACAGATTGGATGGCATGAAATTTGGATTATTCCATTAATTTAGGAGTGCTGACCGAATTTCTCCGCCAGCATTTGCGCCACGACCACCCTTTGGCGCCTGTATCAAATGAATTCCGCCCCGTGGCGTCCAATCGCAATACAATCAAGTGATTATCATAGTTGCAGAGACTCCAGAGGACTCTGGAGCGGTTGCGATGCGTGTTTGACCTGGCGTGAAGGCGCACTGAGAGAAATACATGCCAATTTTTCCCATATGAGCTTTGAATCAACCCTAATTTATCCAGTATTGAAGTAACTTTTTCAAATTTTTGTGGATTATCGCAGGATTTGTCACATCGATATCGTGACAGAT